GCTTAGATGTATAAAAGAAAAAAAGGACATGAATTTTATGATATATATTTTGTGACTCATTTGATATTTTTAAAAAAAATAATAAACTTTAAATTACATTTTTTTAAAAAGATACAAATCTAAAATCTAAAATAAATTCATACATTAAAGAAAGGCTAAAGTATACATTTAATCCTTTAATATTATACAATGTTTCATTTTAATCCTTTAACTTTATAAAATATATTTTTAGTTCTTTACCTCTAACACTATTAGTTTTATCTCAACAAATTTTTACATTAAACTTTTAAATATTGACAAAATATTTTTAAATGTTGACATGCTAAGTTTAATTATTTCAAAATAATAATGATTGATACAAAAAATAATCATTTAAAACTAACAATGTTAGGGTTAAATGACAAAAAAGATACTTTACAAAATTAAAAAATCAAATTAAAATTTTATATAAAGTTAGAGAACTAAAAGTATACTTTAATCTTAAAAAAATATTAAATTTTAAAATGGTAGAATGAACTAATAAATTACAAAGTATTCAATTATAAAAAGTCTACCTCTTGTACCACATGAGAAAAGTCTAACATGACAATGAAGATTTAATTTTTTTATTGATTATTATTTTTTAACTTTACCCTCTTATGATATGTTCACAGAAATTTAATGTTTTAAGTGTTAGTGAGGGACTATGTAATTGGCGCATTTTTTTTTCCCTAAGTTGGTCATTAAAAAAAATATACCGATGCAGATTAGCACAGTAGTTAGTATTTTATGATGTGCATGGCATTAAAAGTATCATATCATATTCATTATAAAAGGGGTTAATATGTAATTTGGGCCCTAAATTATAGGTTTAGGGATGATTTCAATTCTAAACTCCTATTTGGTATATTCCAAACACTAAACAATTAAAATTAGTGTAATTTCGCCCCACTGTTAAATTAAGGCAAACGTTTGTTATTTTTAAAAAAATGGAGCTTAATGTACAATTTTTTTCAAAGAAAGGTAGGAGGGAGAATGAGAGCGAAATTTGATAAAAAATCATACATTAGACTTCATTTGAAAAAAAAAAAAAAACACATTCGTTTTAATTTAACAGTGGGTTGCAGTTGCACTAGTTTTAATTATTTAGGGTTTATAATGTATCAAATAAGAGTTTAGGGTTCAAATGCCCTTAAATTTATAGTTTAGGGTCTAAATTACATATTAAATAAGATCACTAACAATAAAATTAAAAAATAGAAATTAAACACCATTATCATACAAAATTTAGTATAAATAATTTGGTAGCGTTGGCCTAGCATGATGTTACTTTTGTGTGTATATACATATATATATATTAATATTTAACAAATATTAAAAATACATTGGGAGGGTTCTGAATATAACCTCTACTCTCACTCTAGCTACTTTAGTCTTAGCATCTAAGTTATAAAATTATTTTAAAACATATGAAAAATTAATCATTTGTTCTTTGTAATTTTGATTCAATTATAACTCAATCTCTAAACTTTGATTCATTGTAACTTAATCATTATAATTTTAACTCAGTTAAAGCTTAATATTTATAGTTTTGACTTAGAAGTAATTCAGTTCTTGAGCTTTGACTTTTCAACTCATTTCTTATAATTTTAACCATTTAAAATATTAAAAATAAAATAGTAAAGATTAAAATTATGTTAAAATTTAGGACTAATATTTTAAATTATTAAACCCATTTTAACCTTTAGAAATATTAAAATTTTAAACTATTTTAAATTTTTAAAATTTTTCTTTTAAAATATAAGAATAAATATTTTAAATAGTTAAAACTATAAAAAACTTGAGGCTAGGCAACCTCTCACCACTCCCCCACCCCCCAACCCCACCCCCCAAAATTAAAAGAAAAAAAAAACCTTACAAACCATATAAGCAATAGAAAGAATAATTTTTTTGTTATGATATTTCTTATTTTTTCTAAAATATAAATTACAATATTTAGAAATTAAAAATAAGTAATATAAGTTTTAATTTTAAAGCATGAGCCAATGTTTTAAAAATTGGATTGCATAACAAACCAGAATGGTCATGAGGTCATAATTATCATAGTTTAACATGTTAGTTCTACAAAACTAATGATATAATAATTAAATTAAAAATTATGTTTATATGCACGCGTGCGGTCACACATATAATAGTAAAAATACTGACAATATCATTTTCAGTAAATCAAAATTGTTCAATTATAACATTTTTAAGTTTAATTTCCCCTTTTTTTTACACAAACACATTATTTATCTTATTTGTCCTCTTAAAATAAATGATTTTTAATTTTCTCCATAGTTAATTTATATAATGTCAATAAATAAATTATTCATGCAAAAATTTGACTATAACACTAGAAAAAGCTACATATCAATAAACACATAAAATCATTATGAACTGATAAGTGTTTATCTTGCTTTTCACTTGACCATTGCTTTTCATTACTTTTTAATTTTTAAATGAAGATATTCCTTTTCCATCTTGTGGTTCACCAGCATGCCCCCCACTTGCGGCAAAATTGATGGTTTAGTTAAAAGGGTGTGAGTTAAAAGGCCTTTTCTATTCTAAATTAGTTTTCAACATTCCTTATATTTTATGTACTAATGCATGCATGACATCAAAAGTATCATATCATATTCATTATAGAATTACTAATTACAGTAAACTAAAAAAAAGAAATTAAACATCATTATCATAATCAACAATTGGGTTGCGTTTGGGGTATGCTGTTACTTTGTGTATATATTGTAATTTTTTTTAAAAAAATAAAAGTACATAATCTATTACCAAATGACATTTCTAAATTACAAAATTATTTTTTTTTTTTCATTCATTGGGAGGGTTTGGACCAATTTACCTCCACTCACACCCTCATCTAGTCTTACGGCCTGAGCTAGTATATCAAGTGGCTAAGTTATAAAATTATTTTTTAAAAAATATCATAAATATTAAAAGAAACTTAAATTAACTGTGTGTGTGTATTAATTTTCAAGAACTTGACCCTAGCTAGCTAGGCAAAATCTTTCTCTCTGTTATCTCTCTCAATCAAAAAATTTAACCTTACAAACAAATTACTACAAAACATCACATACATATCCATAATAAAAATATTTAGTTGACGAGCAAACCATACAAAAGGCAGCGAAATCTGACATATATATGCAGAATCCAATGTGCCATGAGCAAATATGTTTGATCCAACATTACACACAGAGCGTTCAAACATCTGCAAAGTTTTCAAAACACAACACTCCAATTAATGTCCCTTAAGCAAACATGCATACAAGATCGAATATAACTCAACACTTATCTTCACTCTCTTTTAGAAGAGATGAAACAGAGATATGAATTCAATATTAGCTCCTGAAATGAGAAACAGAAAGGAAATAATTAACATCAGTTGACTTTTCACCTATAAAAAGACATAATGATTTAGAAGAGATGAAACAAATATGGAGAATGAAATCAACATGAAAATTAATCATTTATTGTTTAAACATAAAATATATCAAGATAATTTCATGAGAATCATTTTTTCCTAAATAATCTAAAAGAAGTTTATTATATAAAATCTCAGTTATGGATAACATCTCGTTGAAACATTTGTTCAATCTTTATAAAAGTGAAAGATTCTCAAGCTTCTTAGTCTCCTATTATTTATGAAATCAAATATAATCTTTATTTTGTTTATATTTTAATTTAAAATTGCAATAACAATTATCATTTTTATATTTTTATTCTATTGATTTGACCCATGAGAAAGACCAAGAATTGAATTGATATGTTCACCTCATCACCATATTCTGTATGGAATTTTACTTTTAATATAAGCTCACCAATATTTGATCAAACAGAACTCATACATGTTGAACTAATCTAATTCCAATTTTCAGAACTCTTTCTAAATTCACTTGTAAATAAGCGATCTTAATTACTATAATTTCATTCAATCATATATATTCCTGATCATGCCAAAGATCATTACTAAAAAATAACAAAAATTAATAAATCTAGAGCATTTACTAAAAAACAGAGTACATGTGTGTGTTGTGCAGAGCAACTAACAACGATTCATTATAGAGGAAAATATAAGGACATCATATTTACCTGTTAATCAAGAATGTTATGCGGCATTAAAGGATTGTAAGGTTGCATCCGTCTTTCATCTCCAATCCTGTAAGGTAATCTTTCATTTCTTCGGATGGCCTTGACACCTCCACATTTTGCGGATGAGGCAGTGACCATAGTTCCTCTGGAAGCTTAATAAAAAAGTAGCAATTATTGATGGACAAGCTTTGAAGGCGAGGCATTGCATCTCCACTCAAATTCCAACTTTTGTATCTCATGAATGTTATTTTAAAGACTTTGAGATTTAGGAAATATCCACTTTTGCAGTCAAGATTGTTAAAGCTACATTCATTGGGGAAAGGATAATGAGCTACTTTTAAAATCTCAAGACTGGAAATGGCTCCAAGAATTTCCATAGAAATATCATCAGAACCCAACAGAAATGTTATCTTGGTCAATTTTGATGGAAAAATTGCATCTATGCCAGGGAATTTTTAACCCTAAATCTTGAGTGTTTGTAGATCAGACAAGGTTGATTGAAAGGTTTTGCCAAAACGTATGTGAATTACTTTTTTCTCCCCTTAAGTACATCCCTAATTTTCCAAGCTTGCACATATAGGTTAGTGAGGGACCATGACTGTCTTCAAAAGCAACAAAAGGATTTCTATATTGTTTGAAGGGCCATTAAGAGGGGGAATATATGACCATCTTGGAAGAAAAAGACGCTTTAAACATTTAAATTTCTCTACGCTCCATGGTAGAGTCACTGCAGCGCCGATAACCTCTAAAGTTTCTAAATTCCATAGGTCAAATATTGCTTTTGGAATTCTTAATAAACGTTTACGACAATTATATAACTTTAGGTACCTAAGATGGATTAGATGCACAATTCTATTAGGAATTCTTGTTACCATAAAAACAGAGGAGATATCAAGGATTTGAACCAATTTGAAGTCCTTCAAAATGGCTTTCCAATATGTGAAATCTTCTCCTTCTCCAAAGAAAATCAAAGAACGCACAGATGAATGATTTGCACTAAGGCTAGAAGTTAGATAAGTTGAAGGTTTCTGATATACGAATAATCTTCGAGGGCTGATCAGATTTGAACTTCCAGTGGTTGTAATGATGTCATAGAACTTCTGCTTTTTGCTTTCTTCTATACAAAATGCTCTTAAAAGATCATGAATGCCACATACCTTCACACCCCCATCAGTCCTCTTGCTTTCAACCTGGATCAAGCTTCGGTCAATGAGCTCCATCAAGTAGTATTCTGCAACATCCTCTGGTATTTTATTGCCAGTTTCTTTTGGTATTAACCCCTCTGCTATCCAAAGTTCCATCAATTTCTTGACATAGATTTTTAAGTCTTCAGGATAATGACCAACATATAGAAAGCATGGTTTTAGATTTTGTGGAAAAAACTTATAACTCAATGCCAAAACATCTATGCATTTAGCTTTTTGTTGAAAAAGATGCCAAATTTCATTTCCAGCGACATAGGACAAACACACCTTGGATTTCTCTAGTTTTGCTAATATGCCAGCCAACACCACAATGGATAATGGTAATCCAACACAACTTCCAGCCATTTTCCTACCAAGATCTTCCAAATCAGGAGGGCATTGTTCTCCCACAAACACCCTCTTTGATAAAAGTTCCCAGCTTTGTTCTTCGTTGAGAGATGGAAGTTGATATACAAACTCCTGAGATACACTTGCAACACGAGCTACTTGTACTGATCGGCTAGTGATTAATATTCTACTCCCATTTTTGTTAGCAAGAAAAGCATCATTTATGGCATGCCATACTTCAGGTCTCCATATGTCACCAAGAACAACAAAATATTGCTTTTCCCTCAAACTTTTTCATGGATTTTTTGCTTTAACAAATTCTCCATACTCATATTTTGGAAAGAACCATCATCCAATTCTTTTTGAATAGCTTGTCTTAGATTTTCTATGCCCATTCCGTGATAACTACTTGATCTCACTTGAGCCAACAGAGAGCGATAATGCTTCAGCTTTCCAATCTTCTGAAACATCAGCCCACGCAAACCTATCAAAACATCTTTTGAGCTGATCATTTTTATAGATCTTTCTAGTAAGAGTGGTTTTTCCTTGCCCACCCATACCGATGATGGAGACAACCTTACTGTCACGGGACTAGTCTTTCGACCCGTGCGGCACTTAGACAACCTTCACTGGAAGTTGCTAAGTAAGCCTAACTCGTAGGAAAGGAGGATGCTTAACTAAGAAGAGGAAAGGGAAAGCTTTAAGGCAAAGGAGAGTAGAGAGAGTTTGGAGAATATGAGAGTTCTATAGCTTTGAGAACTCAAGGATGATTTACAAATGAGGAGGGGTGAGGTATTTATAGGCCTCCCCTTGGATCTAGAATGTTCCCACCTCCTTAATGGACGGTGGAGATTAAATCTATCCTACGGTTACAATTGATTCTCTAGAATTCTCTTAACAAATATCTAGATATTTTAATGGAAGAATCTAGAGACAATATTAAAATATTGAGGCTAGAGTTGTGTAGGCTTTTCTAGAATGTTCTTGCACTATCTAGCACTCTTAAGGTTAGCTGGGAGCCTTCTGGAGGGTTCTGGAGCATTCCGGACCTCTTTAACCTTGTGAAAAATGACGAAACGTGACATTCTCCCCCACTTGATTTCGCGACGCCCTCGTCGCGCCTTCCTCCTTGTAGTGTTGGATTTGGTTAGTGAATTGCCACAGGAGGTCTTCACGTTCCCAACTAGCTTCAAAGTCTGGTTGACCCTTCCACTTGATTAAGTACTCGGTGTAGTTGGGAACTCCTCTCTTCTTGATCACCCTGTCGGCGAGGATCTCTTCTATCTCCTTGTCGTACTCGGTGATGACCGCTGTCGGTGCTCTCTTAGAGATACCTCGAGATGGATCTTCTTCGTCTCCATAGTATTTCTTTAAGAGACTAACATGGATGACAGGATGAATCTTAAGCTTGGAAGGGAGTTGTACCTGGTACACAACCTTTCCCACACGTTTAATGATAGGGAAAGGGCCTTCATATCTCCTGACCAAGCCTTTGTGGACTTTGCGTAGTGACTTGAATTGATTCGGTAATAACTTAACCATGACCAAGTCACCTACTTGAAATTCAATGGGGCGCCGCTTCTTGTCTGCCCACTTCTTCATTTTTCGAGAAGCTTTATCCAGGCATGCACGAGTAATGTCGGCTTCTTCTTGCCATTCCTTGGTAAACTTATAGGCAGCTGGATTGTCTCCCTTGTATGGAGTGGCAAGTGCGTTGGGGGTTAGAGGTTGTTGTCCGGTAACTATCTCAAAAGGGCTCTTACCTGTCGACTCACTTCGCTGCAAGTTGTAAGAGAATTGGGCCACATCGAGCAACTTAGCCCAATCTCGTTGATGAGCGCTCACATAGTGGCGAAGGTAGAGCTCTAACAAAGCGTTGATTCGCTCCATTTGTCCATCGCTCTGAGGATGAAAGCTTGTTGAGAAGTTCAAGTCTGTCCCCAAGAGCTTAAAAAGTTCTCTCCAGAATTTCCCGGTGAATCGGGGATCTCGATCACTGACGATGTTGCGAGGGATCCCCCATAGCTTCACAACATGCTTGAAAAACAAGCGTGCTGCTTCATCAACCTTGCAATCTGCTGGGGCTGGTATAAAGGTGGCATATTTGCTGAATCTATCAACCACCACCATGATACTCCCACATCCTTCAGACTTAGGGAGAGCAACTATGAAGTCCATGGAGACACTCTCCCATGGTCTCTCAGCCACTGGCAAAGGTTCGAGCAGACCAGCAGGATGTTGTTGTTCAACCTTATCTTGCTGGCACACTAAGCAAGTTCTCACATATGCTTCAACGTCATCTTGCATATGTGGCTAATAGAAATGATTTTGTACAAGAGCAAGTGTTCGTGCCATACCTGGATGTCCGGCCCATATGGAATCATGGCACTCTTTTAAGACATCCCTTCGAAGGTTGCCCTATTTCAGCACATAGACTCGGTTCCCAATGGTGTAGAGTATTCCATCATTCACCCAAAATCTTCGAGTCTTGCCTTCAGTAGCAAGCTTTACTAAGTTGGTTGCAGATGAGTCCTGAGACATACCTTCCTTGATTCGTTCAAGGAAGTCATTCTGGGGCATGCTTGCTGAGAGAGTGGCTAACTCGGCTTTCCTGCTTAAGGCATCCGCCACCACGTTTGCTTTGCCTGGCTTGTACTCTAACCGATAATCAAACTCAGCAAGAAAATCTTGCCAGCGAGCTTGCTTCGGGCTGAGCTTCTTTTGTGTTTGGAAGTAGCTCGTAGCAACATTATCTGTCATAATAGTGAACTTACTCCCAAGTAAGTAATGACGCCAGGTTCGTAGACAATGGATAATGGCAGACATCTCTTTTTCTTGCACCGTGTAGCGCCTCTCTGTGTCATTGAGCTTGCGGCTCTCGTATGCAATAGGGTGTCTTTCTTGCATTAACACGCCCCCTATTGCAAAGTCTGAGGCATCAGTGTGTACCTCAAACGGCTTCGAGTAGTCGGGCAAGGACATAACAGGCTCTTGCGTGACCATCTGCTTGAGCTTTTCAAAAGCATCTTGGCAATCTTGTGACCATTGCCAAGACTTATTCTTCTTGAGCAAATCTGTTAATGGAGCAGTGATTTTTGAATACCCCTTTATGAACCGTCGGTAGTAGTTCACCAGACCAAGGAATGATCTTAACTCTGGGACCTTGGTAGGAGGCTGCCATTCTTGGATGGCTCGAACCTTAGTTGGGTCCATCATGAGCTTCCCATCCTTGATCTTGTGCCCCAAGAAGTCCACCTCTTGTTTGGCAAAAGAGCATTTTTCCAACTTAATATAGAGTTCGTGATCAGAGAGTACCTGGAAGACTTGCTTCAAGTGTTGAGCATGCTCTTCAAGAGTGTCGCTATATACCACGATGTCATCCAAGTATACCACCACGAACTGGTCCAAGTAAGGGTGGAACAACTTGTTCATGAGCGTGCAAAACGTTGCCGGGGCATTCGTCAGTCCAAAGGGCATGACAAGAAACTCGAATGCTCCATATCTCGTCACGCAGGTTGTTTTCGGCTCATCACCTGCGGCGATGCGTACTTGATAGTACCCGGATCGAAGATCAAGCTTAGAGAAGTACCTGGCTTTTCCAAGCTGGTCGAACAAGTCAGCGATCAAAGGTATCGGGTACTTATTCTTGATAGTAATCTTGTTCAAGGCCCTGTAGTCGATGCACATTCGCAACGATCCATCCTTCTTCTGGAAAAGGACTGGAGCACCATATGGGGTCTTAGATGGTTGAAAATATCCTGAATCAAGGAGATCTTGCAGTTGTCTCCTTAACTCTGCAAGTTCTGGAGGTGACATGCGGTAAGGTGCCAAGGCAGGTGGTTTGGCACCAGGCTCCAACTCGATCTGATGGTCTACCTCTCTTCTGGGAGGTAGTTTCTTGGGCAACTCATCGGGCATGACATGCTTGTATTCCTGTAGCACCTCTTGGATACAAGGTGGCAAGGTTTCCCGTGGTTTGGTTGGGCCATCCTCTTCCTCGGCCAATGAACGTACAGTGGCAATATACCCTTCTGAGTTCTTGAGACCCCTCTTGAATTGCAAGGCAGAAATCATAGGGTTGGATTTCTCCAAGCGTTTCAAGGGAATTACCCGGATCATATTAGAGTCAATGACCACCATAGACTTGGCTTCGGGAATAGGGAAGGCATGTGCTTTGCAAAAGAAAGCAAGTCCCAATACAACTTTGAAATCATCCATAGGGACAACAGTAAAGTCCAGCGTACCTTACCAGTCCCCGATCTTCACCTTCACATCCTTGGCAATCCCAAGGACTTGTTTGGCTGGGGAGTTCACTGCCTTGATGGTGCCTTCTCCCTTGTTGAGTTGGATACCCAATCTCTTAGCTTCTTCAGCCTCCATGAAGTTATGAGATGCTCCTGTGTCGAGCATGGCAAAGGCAGACTTGCCTTGAATGGCGAGATCAGCATAAAGTAGACCCTTCTCTTCCTTCTTAGATGGAGAAAAGAGTCCAGTCAAGGAATTCAAATGTTGGAGGGAACTAAGATTGATCTGTTGCTCCTTGTCCTGGTTATCCTTCATCTCAGCAACCAAGGCATTCATAGCCTTGCGGTTGGGCCAGTCACAAGTCCAGTGTGGACCATCGCACATGAAGCATGGTCTCGGTGGCTTTGAGGCATCACGCCTGATTGAGGGTGGTTTATCTTGTCTAGAACTCCCACCAAAGAATCTACCACCATCCTTACGATCAAAATTCTTCTTTTGTCCTCCTTTGTCTCCTCCACTGCTACCAGGATTAAGCTTTTTGGACTTGGTGGAGTAGTCGATTATAGACTCAGCAGCAGCAATTGCCTCATCTAGAGTTTGCACTTTGCGTCTATCCAGTTCTACTCTCGCCCAGTCTTTAAGTCCGTCCATGAAGTAGAAAAGAGCCTCCTTGTCGGACAGGTCCTCGATCTCGAGCATGATGGTAGTAAACTCTTTGATGTAGTCAGGAATACTACTAGTTTGTCTCAATCTACGAAGCTTACCTCGAGCCTCTGTCTCAGCATTATGGGGAACAAAGTGCTTGCGGAGTTCTGACTTGAACAACTCCCATGTGTTGAGAGTGCAAAGGCCCTTTTCTCGTTTAGCATGCTTTCTGCGCCACCATAGTTGGGCTGCATCCCGGAGAAAAGTTGAAGCACTGTTGATTCTGATTGAGTCGTTAGAGACTCCTATGGCCTCGAAGTACTGTTCTAGGCCAAAGAGAAAGTTCTCCACAATCGTAGCACTACGAGCCCCATTGTACATAGCCGATTTGGGCACTTTCAGACCCTGAGAAGTGGCATTTGAAGTACTACCACTAATAGGGCTACTCACACAGTAATGAGATTCCCATTCATGACGAATCTCATCTATTTGAGTGCATAGACCTCGCACCTCATCTCTTACATATTTGCGGAGATCGGCGAGATCACATCTGAGGGAACGAATGTCTTCCCCTAAATCATCGTTAAGGTCTGCAATCATCAACTTAGCAGCCCGCGTTATCTCAGCATTCTCTTGGAGGAGATTGTTGAGTTGATCGTTGAGTCCCC